TGTCGCCTCTTTAAGTGGGCGTGGCAGTTTTTCTTTTTTGCAAAAGATTCTTCATATTCTCCTTTATCTACATGCAAAATTTCATTAAATTATCTTGAAAGACAACCGAGATATTCAACAAAATCCAAAAGTGTCTTTAAGCCACAAAAATTGAAAAAAAAAAATTGCCAAAAATTTTTTTAAAACACCAAGTCACCAGAAGCTGGTAGTAGGTGGATTTTCGCTCACTATTTTCTTTGACATGTTATATCTCGAAAACTACTTGAGATATTGATATGAATGTTTCACCATGTGATAGATTGGAAATTGGTCTACAAGATGGGCGACCTTTGGCCCGCCTGGCATTTGGACAACCCGGTGAAAAAGTAGAATATATAGTTAAGACACGTGTATCTCAGTTGTGAATGGACCTAGAGGCTTCTAGTACAGCATATATGAAGCACAATATTCCATTCTATCTTATTGTAAAATTTGATTTGAAAAATTCTTGAAAATTGTGGAAATATTGATAAAAGTCTAAAAATGGTTTAAGGACCAATTTGACCTTTGTGGTTATGTTTATGCAAAGTTTAAAACGTTATATCTCGTGTTCTATTTGGTGTATGGACAAGAATGTTATATCATATGAAAGGTTAGGATTTTAGCTTTCAGATTTATGCATTCATTTCGAAAATGGTAAAGCAAATTTCTCAAAAATTGCATTTATATGTTAACGCCCATTTATTACCCTAGCTAATGGGCGTGGCAGTTTACAGTACAGCTTATATGAATCGCTAGATTCCATTCTATATAACTGCCAAATTTTATGTAAAAATTCTTAAAAACAGGCGAAATATGGATGAAAATCTAAAAATTGTTTAAAGACAACATTGACAGTTTTTGGCTATGTTCGAACAATGTTTATAACCTTATATCTCGAGAACTAGTTGATGTATAAACAAGAAAGTTACATCATATGAAAGGTTAGGATTTCAGCTTTCAGATTTATACATTCATTCGTAAAAAGGTAAAGCAAATTTCTTAAAAATTGCATTTATATGTTAACGCCCACTTATGACCATTGCCAATGGGCGTGGCAGTTTATGGTACAGCTTATATGAATCGCTATATTCCATTCTATATAATTGCCAAATTTTATGCAAAAATTCTTAAAAACAGGCGAAATATCGATGAAAGTCTAAAAATTGTTTAAAGACAACATTGACAGTTTTTGGCTATGTTCGAACAATGTTTATAACCTTATATCTCGAGAACTATTTGATGTATAGACAAGAAAGTTACATCATATGAAAGGTTAGAAATTCAGCTACTAGATCCATAAATTTATTCTAAGGAAAGTAAAGGAATTTCTTTAAAATTACGATTATAGTTTAACGCCCATTCGTCGCCTCGTTAAGTGGGCGTGGCAGTTTTTCGTTTTACAAAAGATTCTTCATATTCTCCTTTATCTGCATGCAAAATTTCATTCAATTATCTTGAAAAATAACAGAGATATTCAATAAAATCCAAAAGTGTCTTTAAGCCACAAAAATTGAAAAAAAAATTTGCCAAAAATTTTTGTAAAACACCAAGTCACCAGAACCTGGTAGTAGGTGGATTTTCATTCACTATTTTCTTTGACATGTCATATCTCGAAAACTACTTGAGATATTGATATGAATGTTTCACCATGTGATAGATTGGAAATTAGTCTACAAGGTGGGCGACCTTTGGCCCGCCTGGCATTTGGACAACCCGGTGAAAAAGTAGAATATATAGTTAAGACACGTGTATCTCAGTTGTTAATTGCCCTAGACGCTTATAGTACACCTTATATGAAGCGCAATATTCCATTCTATCTTACTGTAAAATTTAATTTGAAAATTTTTTAAAAATAGTGGAAATATTGATAAAAGTCTAAAAATGGTTTGAGGACCCAATTGACCGTTTGTGGTTATGTTTAAGCAAAGTTTAAAACGTTATATCTCGTGTACTATTTGGTGTGTGGACATGAATGTTATATCATGTGAAAGGTTAGGATTTCAGCTTTTAGATTTATACATTCGTTTCGAAAAATGAAAAGCAAATTTCTTAAGAATTGCACTTAAATGTTAACGCCCACTTAGGACCATAGCTAATGGGCGTAGCAGTTTATAGTAGAGCTTATATGGAGCGCAATATTTTATTCTATATAACTGCCAAATTTTATGTAAAAATACTTGAAAACAGCCGAAATATCGATGAAAGTCTAAAAATTGTTTAAAGGCGACATTGACAGTTTTTGGCTGTGTTCGAACAATGTTTATAACCTTATATCTCCAAAACTAGTTAATGTATCGACAACAAGGTTACATCATATGAAAGGTTAGGATTTCAGCTTATAGATTTATACATTAATTTCGAAAAAGGTAAAGCAAATTTCTTAAAAATTGCATTTATATGTTAACGCCCACTTATGACTATTGCCAATGGGCGTGGCAGTTTATAGTACAGCTTATATGAATCGCTATATTCCATGTTATATAATTGCCAAATTTTATGTAAAAATTCTTAAAAACAGGCGAAATATCGATGAAAGTCTAAAAATTGTTTAAAGACAACATTGACAGTTTTTGGCTATGTTCGAACAATGTTTATAACCTTATATCTCGAGAACTATTTGATGTATAGACAAGAAAGTTACATCATATGAAAGGTTAGAAATTCTGCTACTAGATCCATAAATTTATTCTAAGGAAAGTAAAGGAATTTCTTTAAAATTACGATTATAGTTTAACGCCCATTCGTCGCCTCGTTAAGTGGGCGTGGCAGTTTTTATTTTTTGCAAAAGATTCTTCATATTCTCCTTCATATACATGCAAAATTTCATTAAATTATCTTGAAAAACAACCGAGATATTCAACAAAATCCAAAAGTGTCTTTAAGCCACAAAAATTGAAAAACAATTTTGCTAAAAATTTTTGTAAAACACCAGGTCACCAGAACCTGGTAGTAGGTGGATTTTCGATCACTATTTTCTTTGACATGTTATATCTCGAAAACTACTTGAGATATTGATATGAATGTTTCACCATGTGATAGATTGGAAATTGGTCTACAAGATGGGCGACCTTTGGCCCGCCTGGCATTTGGACAACCCAGTGAAAAATTAGAATGTATAGTTAAGACACGTATATCTCAGTTGTTAATTGCCCTAGACGCTTATAGTACACCTTATATGAAGCGCAATATTCCATTCTATCTTACTGTAAAATTTAATTTGAAAAATTCTTAAAAATAGTGGAAATATTGATAAATGTCTAAAAATGGTTTGAGGACCCAGTTGACCGTTTGTGGTTATGTTTAAGCAAAGTTTAAAACGTTATATCTCGTGTACTATTTGGTGTATGGACAAGAACGTTATATCATATGAAAGGTTAGGATTTCAGCTTTTAGATTTATACATTTATGTCGTAAAAGGTAAAGCAAATTTCTTTAAAATTGCTTTTATATGTATATTTAACGCCCATTTATTATCCAATCTAATGGGCGTGGCAGTTTACAGTACAGCTTATATGAATCGCTAGATTCCATTCTATATAACTGCCAAATTTTATGTAAAAATTCTTAAAAACAGGCAAAAAATTGCTGAAAATCTAAAAATTGTTTAAGGACAACATTGACAGTTTTTGGCTATGTTCGAACAAAGTTTATCGTCTTATATCTCGAGAACTATTTGATGTATAGACAAGAAAGTTACATCATATGAAAGGTTAGAAATTCTGCTACTAAATCGATTAATATCAATCGATTTAAAGTATAGCATACTTTAGAGCGCAAATTTTATTAGAATCGTAAAATTTGTACGTAAATGTTTCAAAAAGTTGCCGGTAAATAGGGGTTTCCAGCCATATCGGACGGTGCGTTTTCAAGAAAATCGCAAAAAAACGAAAAATTGCAAATTGACTTTTTTTGCAAACCAAATACTAACACATACAAAAAAGTTCACACATATGACTTATTGAGGTTGGTGTGTGTAAGTGTTTTGTCTCTTCTAATCTAAACGTGCTCATTTACTAACAAATAAATGCGTACAAAATATATTGCATACTTTAGTGCGCGATTTTTATTAAAATCTTAAAATTTGTATGGATTTTTTTCAAAAAGTTGCTCGGATCAAAAAACTGAGTCCATTTTCGGATTCAGCGCGGGGGTTTCCGGTAAATAGGGGTTTCCAGCCAAATCGGACGGTGCGTTTTCGAGAAAATCGTAAAAAAAGAAAATTGCCAAATTGGCTATTTTTGCAAACCAAATACTAACACATACAAAAAAGTTCACACATATGACTTATCGAGGTTGGTGTGTGTAAGTGTTTTGTCTCTTCTAATCTAAATGTGCTCATTTACTAACGAATAAATGCGTACAAAATGTATTGCATACTTTAGTGCGCCATTTTTATTAAAATCTCAAAATTTGTATGGAATTTTTTCAAAAAGTTGCTCGGATCAAAAAACTGAGTCCATTTTCGGATTCAGCGTGGGGGTTTCCGGTAAATAGGGGTTTCCAGCCCGATCGGATGGCGCGTTTTCGAGAAAATCGCAAAAAACGAAAAATTGCAAATTGGCTATTTTTGCAAATCAAACGCTAATACATATGCAACACAAGTACATGAGTTTGTTGTTTTGACTTTATTTGCGATTCACACTAAAGTATACTTTAGGGAGTTAAAAAAGTGTTTTATTAGGAATAATTGCTTGAATTTTGTATCTAGGGGTATAACAGTATTTAAGTATATTAAAAATTTATTTTGCTAGGGGTGCCATGTTTTTGTTTTCTAGATATATAAATATTTGACAGTCGGATCCCTAATTCTTTAAATATTGTATAATATTTTAAAAATAAAACACAGTTTTAAAGGTTTTTGTTTAATAGATTTTTTTTTATTAATTTAAGTTATTTAAGATTATTAACTACTTTAACATTTTTTTTATTTAATGACATTTGAAGATTGTTATAATTAAGATGTATCCTTTTCTGTTGTG